GAAGGTGACAATACGACTTCGATACACTAAAGTGGCTAGCATGTGAGCCAAACTTTGATGTGATATGTTGGGGTGGGTATGATATAAATAACTATTCATTTTATACAAAGGGAGAAGATGAAATAAGCACAATGCAAAATAGTGGAGTCATGGTGGTGGCTGAATCAATGCATTTCTCGAGTTCAAAGGATAAATATCAGATAAGGGCGTCAATGGGCTACTTTGGTGTAATTGAAGAGATTTGGGTAATAGATTACACGATATTCGAGTACCTATTTTTAAATGCAAGTGGGTTGATTTTAATACGGCATCTTCACAGATGATCTTGGATTTACCTTGGTTAACCTTGAAAATACTCGTTATCCAGAAGAACCATTTATCATGGCATCTCGAGGCAAAACAAGTGTTTTATGTCAACGATCCCGCTAACAAAGGATGGTCGGTGGTTCTACAAGGAAAACCCATGTATACTTCGATGAGAATGATGAATTAGTACTTGATATACCGAGACACCATGTTTCTCTTCAAATATGCCAAACTTGAGTGTTAATGTAGAAATAGATGATGTGCATGTCATCAGTTATGACCATATGGAAGGATTTTGGGAGAATGCTCCAACTTGATAGGAAATTTAAGCATTCAATCTTCATAGGAAATTTAACTTGTAACAATTTAGATAGAATTGATTTAAGTTAGGAAATTTACATTCGTTTAAGTAAATGAAGCTATGCAGAGCTGGATCTGTACGTACATATATTCATTTCAATGTGTTTCATATGTACATATCATCTGCATAGCTGAATACATGCATCTTTGGATATATATACGTAGCAAATTTATATATGAAGCTGTGCATATCATGCATGCTTGGATCATGTGGTTATTTGTGCGGAAGCTGTGATGAATAGACGAGTCTACTCGAAGAAAGGTAGCATCTGTAAATAAAATGCAGGTATTTTAAAAAAAATAACACTTTCTACGTCGGTTATGTCATTACCGACGTAGAAAGTACTTTCTATGTCGGTTATAATTTTAGCAGACATAGACAGATAAGACTTTCTATGTCGGTTATATGTGTTAACCGACATAGAAAGTATTACGACAGTCGAAATCGGCTATGATCGATTAGATTAGCTTCATGACCGATCGGAACCAGTTATGACCGATCGAATAGCTCATACAAAATAAGACTTTCTACGTCGGTTCCACGACTAACAGACGTAGAAAGTCTTTCTGTGACCGATCGAGAACCGATTATGATCGATCAGAATAACTCTATGACTGATCATAACCGGTTTGACCGATCATAATAGCTCAAAGAAAGTAGGGCTTTCTACGTCGGTTCCTATTAATCGACGTAGAAAGTCTTACTTTCTACGTCGGTTATTAGGAACCGACGTAGAAAGCCTTACTTTCTATGACCCCCGTATCTATGTCGCCGCTTTAACCGACGTCGAAAGCCCATTTTAACCGATGTAAAAAGCCTTTTCTGCAGTAGTGGGACGAATAGGAACTAATAATAGTGTGTTTGCTTATTAGGTTTGACATTTTAAGAATAATTTAGAGAATTCTTAAACATTTTTTATTCTTCCTCTTTTTCAAAGTTTTTTTAGACATAATGTGTTATTAAAACTAGAAAAAGAAATACAAAGTTCAGGGATTAAACCAGAGCATGAGGTAAAAAGTAAATCAACCTATATTTTGGTTAACTAATTCTATTTATAGATAAATCCTCTTAGACATTTTATTATATCAAATATAATATAGTTATTTTTTAAGTCAAGATTAACTTATTTATCTGTAAAATAATTTCATTCTTTATATATATATATATATATATATATATATATATATATATATAACGTTAAAATAAATAGATAAGTATTTAGAATTAGAGAAAGCTTTCACATTTTAACCAAAACTTATTCCACCATTCACGAATAATTATCTCAATAACAAGAATTTTAATACCTTACCAAACGAGGAAATTCATTCATAAGTGATTATTTTGTTATACGAATATTAATTATGAACACCAAATTTTGTCATTTTTTATTTTAAATATTTTTACACATATAACATGAATAATTTAAATTTATTGATTTTTTTTAATTTTAGTGATTTTATTATAATTTTTGTATTTCATTTTAAGTTTTTCCGAGGTAGTTTAATAAGAAACCAACATTTTTTTTCTAGATTTTTTCTTTAAAAAATTAAAGAGAAAGTAATGTTTTTTTTCTTGATAAACTGAGTAATGTTAACTCAATTTTTTAAAAATATATAACTTTATAAAACTTCACTTCTTAACACTTTATTTCAAATTCAATGACTTTTAAGTTTTGACGGGTTTAGTACAAATAGTCAGACTCTTAAATTTTCTTTGACATGTATGAGTCCTTTCATAAATTTTATTTATGTTATTTTCTCATCAAGAAAATAAATGTTTTAATTGTTGAATATTTCATTCGATTTTATTTAAATTCCAATATGAGTCTTAATAAATAAATTAAGAACTTTAAATATTTTATTAATCATTTTTTGAAATTATAAAGAAAAAATAAAACCAATAAACATTTATGAAGATTTTTTTTACTATGTTATATTTCTTTTACGATTTTGTAAATTTTGTGTTTTTTATTGATATATTTGTAATTAATTTTGTGTTCTGAAACCTCTCGATGAAGTTTCCATATGCTGGCAGCAAGATGTTTTGCAGAGAAGTTATTATTTGTTCCTGTAGCTGCATATTGAAGGCAACCCATGTAGATAACACAACACTCCTTTATGAACCCAACACCCATCATAATCAGCTGTATAGTTTTGCGAAGGTCGTTGATTTTTAGCGCATCAAGAACTAAGTTATGGTCGATTAATTACTTGTAGTTTAGAATCATCTTTAACGCATTCCTTCACATGCTTGAAAAGCATGTTGGTGAGATTTGCCTTCGTGCAATCGACGAGATGTTGCATCATAATTCCATGACTGATATCAACAACTACAGAATGCTCATCTTGGACTCCAAGATTCTCGTGTAATGTTGTATCTAAGGATGAACGGAAAGTAATAAGAGCATTGCTGAAACCTACTCCAACAATAACTAATGCCAATTTAATCTTCATGAGTAGTACTAATAGAAATCCCAGGAAAAAATTAAAAAGATCCACTTCAGTGACATGATAGCAAAGGCAACACAGGAAATCAAGCTATATATATACATCCGGTTTCCCATTCACAGTTTTATCAGTGAAATAGGAATACACAGATGTGATGGTCAAAAGCAATAATGCTGAATGAGGTTTGAATCCGAGATTCGTTGAGTGTGGACATACCTTTGCATGTAGACTCCAAAAACAGATGAAGAGACTAAAAACAGTGTAGAGAAAGATCTTCAACAAGCTCCACTCTCCATATAGATAGTTGAAGGAGCTGAGAGCATAACAAAGAAGTCCAACAATAGTTGAAACCAAACCTACAATTCTCCACACTGCTACCTGCCTCAGCCATCTCCTGAGTTTAACGTTCAAAGAATTCATTTTCTATCTGAAGCAAGTATTTAAGAATTGCTTTTGCAATCTGATATAAAATGCAATCAATTTAAGATGAAAGCTCACACCCCTTTTCTGCAGACACAATTTCGAGGAAAATCTAAAAGTCAAGTCTCCTATACTGAATTATATTTCCCCTTTGACGATGAATGAGTATGAACAATTAATTATGAGGACTTTCTTTTTCTCTTTTCACTCTATTTTTTCTCCATTTCGTCTACTTTTTGCATTACACAATCCGTTACTGATTAAATATTATATCCGTCACTTCTTTGATTTTTTTTTTTTCTTTATTTCTCTTTTCTTTTTCACATTATGTTAATCACTTAATTATTTGTCACTTTCTTTCTCTATTTATTTTATTTTTATTTTTTATATGTTCGCCCTTTCTTTCACCTCCATATAAGTCTATTAGGTTTAAAATATATGAATTTGAAAGTGTTGGGAGTTGTATTTTTAATGAATAAACAAACATTTTTCTCTTAAATTTTTCCTATGTCATTCATTTCAGTACATGTCATGTTTTTCTCTCTTCCTTTTCTTATCTTCTTCTATCTTTCTTGTTCTTCCAAGTTGAACACTCTTTAGGGTGACTGGGTACTTTTATCAGGGTTCATGACTTTGTGAAGTTTCCACGAACCCATTATTATGAAGTTTGGAGGTGTTGGGAGTTATATTTGTGTCAACTATTAATTAATGAGTTCAAAGAGTTTATAGGAAACACTTGCTTGTCTTTTGGAAGTGTTAGGAATATTAATTCTAAATTTGTAAATAATCCCACTTTCTATTGCAACTTCCATTTCACTCTTTTTTCTTTTTCTTTTTTTCATTTCTTGCTTTCTCATGACAAAAATTTTAGAAATTTCAAGAACAAAAATCACTTTCTTTTTCTCTTTTTAGCCTATTTTTACTCTTTTCGTTTACTTTTCGCATTACACTACTTTTACGTTACTACGTACTAATTAATTATTATATGTCACTTTATTTTATTTTTCTTTATTTCTGTTTTCTTTTCACATTATGTTAATTACTAAATTATTTGTCATAGTTATACGTTTTTTTTATCTTTTTTCACAAACTCTTTTACATTTAACAAAAAAACATAATAAAAAATTTGGTTACTTTTTAATTTATTAAAATTATATTTATTATTAACATTAATATTTTTCAAATAATATATATTTATATTTAAGAAAAAACAAACAAATTTCATGTATAATATTAATACATATTCCAAAATAAACATGTTATATGTCATATATATATATATCACTATAAGATGAAATAAAAAATATTAAATATTACATACAAACACGTGACTTAGTGTTATAATGCTGTAATATTACAGTCTGAATGTAAGGTTTGACACCCAATGAGTCTAAAAATACCATTTTAATTGCAGAAATCTCAGAAACGGGGATTAGAATCCATTAGAACCCACTCGTCGCGTATTATTATTTCCAAATTGTGAAAAAAAAAAACTCGTTACCCTCGTTAATTTTACCGTGCTCAACAACTGGTATTATTAACTTTTGCTCATTCAAGAGATCTGCAGAGGCGAGCCATGTAGATTGATTACTACATATAAACTCAATGTGCTCATTTATCAACTTGTCTTTGATAGATTCTGCATCCACTAACTCATCATCCTCTAGCTTCAATAAATCTAACACCATATTCCAAGAGTTTCTTTGAAAGAGTACGAGATTTTGTCGAACTATTGGCCCACTATTTTGGAAAAAATCAAGATCTTGCAGTCCCAATTTCGCTGCCCTTCCCTCTATGTACCTCCAATTATTCATAATGAAAAGGTGGCGTAAGGCAGGGTACTTGTAGTTTTTGGACCTTGCCGCCAGTTCTCTCTCCAATCGCTTCATTATTGGATTAATCAGATCAGAAACAGAATAAGATATTCCTGTTCTACCAGCAAACTTCCTGAATTGTTCCACAATCAACTCCAAGTAGTCCATGACACAACATGTCATTGGATTATGCGTGGCATCTGGCCGAACTATTACCTGCACAAATGGGTTGCAGAAAATCTTATCTTCCATTTTCATGAAAATGTCTCTGCATGTTTTTTCTAATTTGTCGCGGACTGTCACTGCTTCCTTTACCACGGACTCTGGAAACAATGAATGCAATTCAGGAATCAGATCACACGATGTCTCAAACATGAAAACGATGTTGGACAAGCCCACATCGCAAGGGTCCTTGCTAGCATACTCAACAGCAAAATTCAGCATTTTAACCACTTCTCCCCGACAAATCTCACTGAAACAGAAATCAGCAACATCAGAGAACCCAGAGAAGACGCGATCACAGAGTCGTCGCTCACTAGGAAATAGTATCCTAAGAGAAGCCTTAAATGTTCTTACCAATATCTTATCAACAGACCAATCTAATGGCAACCTCGTACGCTTCTCATCTATCTCCATCTTTTGCAACTCATATAAGCACGCCTCTAAGCTTTCCCTCCGCCATTTACAATACACATCCTGAGTGGATAAAATATCATTACATTCATGCATTAATTTAGGTTAATTTCATATGTTGTTGCATTATGGGAACGATTTCATCATGCATTATCGTTGTTTTGGATCATACATGTGGTTTGTGCATTGTTCTTGTAAATAGGTGTTTGGAGGTTTAAATTCATAGTTTGGAGCAAGTTCCACAGGTACCTTGTGAAATGTTCCATAACCTGTGGATTTGGTACCAGAATGCAAAGATCAAGATCAGAGAGCTCCACAGGTGAGTTGTGGATGTTTCCACAACCTGTGGATTTGTGGTTCAGAAGGCACAGTTGAAGTCAGAGAGTTTCATAGGTAGGTTGTGGATTTTTCCACAACATGTGGAAATTCAAGACAGTTATGAGAAGTGGTAACTACCTCAACAAGTGGAGAAAAAACGTGGGACACCCTATAAAGAAGGTGGAACGAAACTGAAGAAGGGGGGAGAACCATTAGAGAATTTTTTACGTTTTAGTTATTATCCTTTAGCAATTTTTTACATTATGCAGAACTGATTTTCCTGTTGTTAGAGGATTGATGTAGTACTCTGAATTATATTTTCTTGTTCTTGACAATTGATGTTTAGTTAATGTTCTTTATCTCAGTGTTCTATTTATAATTTTCAAGTTCATTCCACGAGCAGTTTCACAATTGGGAGATTGGAGGTTGTTCGCGATCCTAAATATAACAGGTTAGGGTTTGTCACAATTGGGAAATTGGGCATATATCTAATTAGTTTGCAATAGAGAAGATTATTGTTTTTTCATGATTCTATTGAATAGCGTAAGCTGACCTAAGGGATTGGGGTTCGGATTCAATGAATAGTTTTGCCTACTAAGGGATTAGGGGTAAAACAACTCGGGTAAACTCAAGTGGATAATTACATTTCTTGCATCAATTGAAAGGACTGGAATTATATAGGAAAGGGTATGAAATCAATTCTCTAACAGATCTTATTTTGACTCAAGTTCTTATTATAATTCTATGTTTGCTATTTTATCCAAATTTTCAATTGCTCAAACTTACGTACATTAGGAATCTAGTATTCAACAAATTTAATCCCAGAGGACGATATTTTATTACTACGTTAACGATTGGTGCACTTGCCAAACGTTCATCAAGTTTTTGGCGCCGTTGCCGGGGATTGATTTTTTCTGTTGATATTAGTGATCTAATTCGCTTAAGATTTGAGTGTTAGTTTTTAGGTAGTCAAAACTATTTTTATTTTAGCTATTTTGTTTTTCTGTTTTCATTATTTTGTTTGTTTTTCTGTTGTCACGTTAATTTTGTTGTTAGAATATTGTATTCGTTTTAAGTTGTTTATGCGAGGTACAGTGGCAGAAAAAATTTTGCTTTTTGACCCAGAAATTGAACGTACTGCTAGACATAATAGAAGTGAGACACGAAAGAAGAAGCAAAGACATCAAGTAAAAAGGAAGAGCACGTATCAACAATGACAGAGGAACAACCAGAGAGGAAAACTCTTCTTGATTATTCTATGTCAGACGTGAATAATTACCAAGGGAGCATTGTGAGACCTCTTATTCAAGTCAACAATTTTGAAATCAAGCCTGCATTGCTACAAGTCATCCAACAGAATCAATTTGGAGGTGCAGTTGCAGAGGATCCTAATTCTCATCTAGAGAATTTTCTAGCCATCTGTGATACTTTGAAGCTTAATGGAGTTTCAAGTGAGGCAATCCGCTTGAGGCTTTTTCCTTTCTCATTAAGGGATAAAGCTAAAAGTTGGCTTCAAACACAACCTCAAGGAAGCATCACTACATGGGAAGATATGACTACAAAATTTGTGACCAAATACTTCCCTCCATCCAAGTTAGCAAGAATGAGAAATGAAATCACTAATTTTGTGCAGCAAGAGACTGAATCTATGTACGAGGCTTGGGAGAGGTACAAGGAGCTATTGAGGAAATGTCCACATCATGCTTTACCAGATTGGTTACAAGTCCAGATATTCTATAATGGCCTTGTACCCTCTTTTAGAGCAATGTTGGATGCAGCAAGTGGAGGAGCATTCAATCTAAAGACACCAGCAGAAGCCCTGGAAACGATTGAGTTAATGGCAAATAATACAGGGAATATGCAGTTTGATCGTCAGAATAGAAAAGGTGGAATGTTAGAAGTTAACACTTTGGATGCTATCCTAGCCCAAAACAAGTTGTTAACACAACAAATGACCGAGTTGACTAAGAAGATTGATAATGTGCAAGTGAAAGCAGTGAAGATAACACCTTTAACATGTGATTTTTGTGGAGGAATGCATCAAAATGGTGAATGTCAAGTCACTCAACAAGAGGTGCAGGTGAATGCAGTGGGCCAACATCAGAATCAGTTTGCTAACCATTTCAATACAAATTGGAGAAGCCCATCAAACCAACCTTGGAGTGGATCAAATCAGTCCAATCAGCCAAAGCTTCCATATCAATATCAACCACAATCTAACAACCAAGGAACTAAGATGTTTACTTTTGAGAGAGCTTTAGAGAAGTTAACTGAGCAAACCTCAACATTTGTGGAACAAACTTTTAATTTCATGAACGAGACAAAGACAAATTTCAAGAATCAAGAAGCTTCAATCAGAAATTTGGAGAACCAAATTGGTCAACTTTCATGACAAATCTCAGAGAGATCTCTTGGAACATTTCCTAGTGACACCATTACCAACCCAAAGGAACAATGTAAGGCAATTCAATTGAGGAGTGGGAGATTGGTAGAGAATGAGAAAAGGAGTGAGATGGGTAGTGAGAGAAAAGAACAAAGAGAGGAGATTGTGATACAGAGTGAAAAAAAGAGCGAGAAAAATTGTGAAGAGGAGAATGAGGGAGAGAAAAGTCAAGAGAGTGAAAAGGGTAAAATGAGAGAATATGTTCCCACTATTCCATTCTCTCAAAGGTTGAAGAAGAAAGAGCAAGAGACGCAATTTGCAAGATTTCTTGATGTCTTTAAGAAGCTCCACATTAATATCCCATTTGTTGAAGCATTGGAGCAAATGCCAAGCTATGCTAAATTCATGAAAGACTTGTTGTCAAGAAAAAGGAAGCTACAGGAGGATGAAACCATAATGCTTACGAGAGGAGTGTAGTGCAATTATTCAACAAAAATTACCTCCTAAATTGAAGGATCCAGGAAGTTTTGTCATTCCATGTGAGATTGGAAATTTAATGGTAAGCAAGGCATTGTGTGATCTTGGGGCGAGCATCAATTTGATGCCCTTGTCCATTTTTAAAAGGTTGGGTATCGGAGAAGTGAAGCCTACTATGATAACTCTCCAATTGGCGGACCGATCAATGACTTATCCTTATGGAGTGGTGGATGACGTCTTAGTGAAGGTTGATAAATTTATCTTTCCAGTTGATTTCGTGGTCCTTGACATGGAAGAAGATACTAAAGTCCCAATTATATTGGGAAGACCATTTTTAGCCACGGGAAGAGCATTAATAGATGTACAACAAGGTAAATTGATGTTAAGAGTAGCTGATGATAAAGTCACTTTCTCCATATATGAAGCAATGAAACATAAGGTGGACAAGGAGGATTGTTTCAGAGCTGAAATCATCGAATATCTGGTATTAAAAGAAAGGGGTAATCACACGAGGAAGAGTACGTTAGAGAAAACTTTGTTTTCCGGAATGGGAGTAAAGGAGTTGATTGAAGAAGTGAGTGAAGAAGAAGTGGTGCAGTGTGCTCATCAATTAGAAGCTCTCAAGCCATTATTCGGTTCCACTAGAAAAATAGAAAACTTAAACAGGAGTGACATTGGCGAAGAAGAGACATCTACGGTAGAGTTGAAACCACTCCCTTCTCATCTTAAATATAAATTCTTAGATGACACAATGCTTAATCCTGTTATTATAAGCAATGTACTGACGACTGTTGAAGAAGAAAAGCTTTTAAGGGTATTGAGAGAGCACAAATCTGCTATAGGTTGGAAAATTGATGATTTGAAAGGTATTAGTCCCACTTTGTGCATGCATAAAATCTTTTTGGAAGAGGACTTCAAACCTATTCGACAACCACAAAGAAGGCTCAACCCCACAATGAAAGATGTGGTAAGGAAGGAAGTAATCAAGCTTCTAGACGCAGGCATTATTTATCCAATTTCGATAGTGAGTGGGTAAGTCCAGTTCAAGTGGTACCCAAGAAAGGTGGGATGACGAGTAGTAACAAATGAAAAAAATGAGCTTATTCCCACAAGAAAAGTTACGGGGTGGCGCATGTGTATTGGCTACGAGAAGATTGAATCAAGCCACAAGAAAGGACCATTTTCCACTCCCATTTATAGATCAAATGCTTGAGAAATTGGCTGGGCAAGAATACTATTGTTTTCTAGATGGTTATTCTGGTTACAATCAAATAGTAGTGGCTCCTAAAGATCAAGAAAAGACAGCGTTTACATGTCCCTATGGAGTTTTTGCTTACAGGAGGATGCCTTTCGGTCTCTGCAATGCACCAGCAACATTTCAAAGGTGTATGTTTTCCATTTTCTCTGATTTAATTGAAAATTGCATTGAGATCTTCATGGACGATTTTTCTGTGTTTGGCTCTTCATTTGATTCTTGTTTATCTAACTTGACTTTAGTGTTAAAAAGATGTCAAGAAACTAATTTAGTGTTAAATTGGGAAAAGTGTCAATTTATGGTGAAAGAAGGTATTGTTCTTGGTCATAAAATTTCTGCTAAAGGTATAGAGGTGGATAAAGCAAAATTGGAAATAATTGAACAATTACCTCCCCTGTGAATGTCAAAGGGGTAAGAAGTTTTTTGGGTCATGCCAGGCTTTTATAGGCGGTTCATCAAAGATTTTTCTAAAATAGCAAAGCCTATGACTAATCTTCTAGAAAAAGAAGCACATTTTGAGTTTGATGAGGCATGTTTGCAAGCATTCATAACCTTAAAGAAACAACTTGTCTCTGCTCCTATAATTACTGCACCTAATTGGTCTTTACCATTTGAGCTTATGTGTGATGCTAGTGATTATGTTGTGGGTGATGTATTGGGACA